AACTGTCATTTCACACGATGTAAATATGAAACAACTGAATGTCATTTAATAAATCAGTCTATTCTCTAACCTCAACTACAACACTTTTCAACATTTTAAGCGTTGGGGCTAGATATTCGGAGTGATGGATACAGTGGAGGCAATTAAAATTGTGTACAAAACTTCTGAAAACTTTCCTTTTGAACCACAATACGAGGAATTTAGCACGCAATGAAGTTTAAATTTTTATAATTATTCTGCTTCAGATACAATTCATAGGAAATGAATAACAAAACAACTCGGCTTTAATTGATCAACACTTTTTAAAGCCTTTTTTTGAATTGGCGACGCATATAAATTGACCGGATCGAACTAGATTGAACTAGATCGGAACAAATCTGTGGATGGATTTGATTCTAGATGTGTACTTATTTGAAATCACACACCAATAGTGGTATCAATTTGAATGAAAAATAATCAAATACAGTGCACTCTCAGAGATCATAATCTTCCAGAAAACTGAAGCAATTTTCGAAAAACGGAATCTCTAATCTCATACAAAGTTGCGTTTAGAAATCTATTCCAACGGAATTATCTCGCTCAGTAATAAGATAGGATAGAGTAAAGTTGACCAATTTCGACTGCATATTTTGTTTGGTCTCGAGTAACACAGTAAAAAGTTCATCTCGTCATGGTAAGACTTGTAAAAAGCCAATAATAAATCCAATTGAAGCTGCGTATTTTTTCAACAGATTCATTAATTTGGAAGAAGTTTGGCGAGGACAGCACATTTGAACTAAAAAAAGCGTTAGATTCATCAATCAAAACTATAATCGGTGAAAAAAGAGATGATAAAAAACCAAATTCTGCATCTAACTATTTGAAACACAGCTAAACGAACTCAAAGCGAGCGACATTGAAACACACGCACTTCGGAATTCGAAGAAATTTGAAATGAAATTTTGAAAAAATACAAGATTTTTTGACCCAATGGAAAAGCTTCTAATGTACAGATGCAAAATTATTTTTAATCAACATCTTTCATGGGGAACAGCCAGAATAATTTCCAAATGTAGGATTGTGATTGTTTTTTTTTCTTCAAGAAATAAATATGTTCCCCAAATCGAAATAAATGCGATATAAAATCTTCTACAATTAAAAACTTATTACTTTTCTTATTATTGAATCAGAGCCTTTATGAAGAAAAAAAGTTGAAACTGCAAAGAATGATGTGTGTGTGACCCGTATTATACAAAGAGAGTCAATGAAAAAACGATCTGCACTAGATTGCAAAGTGTTCCAATTTTTTTTATTGTAAAATATTTGATTTCATTTTTTGTTCACTTTGTTTCTATTTTGAATAGTGAACTTTCGTTAATATCGATATTTTTTATCCTTTCTTTCATTCAGTTAAACAATCAACATTAAATGATCAAACAATATTTTGTTGACTTTTTATCCTGTCGCCATTGGAAAAACTGTTACGTGTCACGGCGAAATTTGATCTGCTGAGAATATTCGTTGGACGTTATTTTTTTGAAATACGAATTTTGAACAAGTTGGTACGCAGAAGCGGTAAATTATAATTCAATTCATTTAATGTGCAACATCAAAAATTCAGTGTATACTTTCGTGAAGTGTCGCTTTTATGCCAATGTGTTAAGAATTTATGTCACTTTAAGAATCAGCAAATATGATGTCCCGCTTTTGTGTAACCAATATTTTCAGAACAAACCTATATCTCGCTCACACTTACGACTATTTTTAACAATTTAATGAGCTTGAGTTCAATATTCGCCAAATAAAACATATCGAAAAGAATTTGTATGATAATTCACATAATTGACCGTTGAAATGCCAACACCATGAAATTGTGTTGGAATTTACCATATCTTTACTGTTGGAATTTTTATCGATGATGAAAAAACGTTCCAAAAATAACAATAAATCCTCTTTAAGCACGTTTCAGTTGTAGATACTCTTCAATTTCCCTTCTTTTAACTGTTTTCAACTCGTTCAAGTCTTTTTTATTCAAGTAAAACTGTAAAGCCTTCTTGGATTCTTGCCGACTGACTTTCAATGTATCAACCAGTTTCGAAATTAAATCATTGGAAAAAACTAGTTCACAGTCTTGAACATATAGTACGTTTAACTTGCTGGCAGATGAGATAAATTCGACTAAAATATCCCCATGGATTGGTATTCGCTGTAGTTTCAATTCTTCCAAAAATGGCAGTTTCTCAGCCAAATCCAAAAAACTTTGCCCATATTCCTCTATTCCCACGCCTTTATACCAACTGCAACTCAAACTGATTTTCTGTAAATTTATGAACGTTGGCAAATGATTTACAATGCATTTCAAACTGCTTCTATCCAATTTCTCCAAATTAATTTCGCGTAAAAGTGGAAGATTGCTTAGACTAGCAAAGTTTCTGGCAAAAAATGATTCATTAACTGTATTGACAATCGTCAGTTTTTCGAATCGTGATAAGTATTTTGTCACAGCCAAGATGAGAAGAGTTTTATTGCTTCTATCGATAGCAAATTCGAGGCAGGTGAGTTGTGGATTTTGTTTAATAAATGATATTAATGTGGTTGTAGTCAGCACCATGTTATTCTTCACCGAGAGACTGCGCAGACTTGGCCATGGTTTGCAGCAAGCGATCATCGCCATATCCATATTCACTGTGAATTCGATTAATTTTGGGCACAGTGCCTGAAAATTTATATCATAGCTGGATCCTTCGTCTCTATCTTCGATTTCTAACGATTCCAAATTCTGGAGAACTGGTGCTAATGTCACCATACGATTGTCTCTATCAAGGTTGAATGCGAAATATGCTCGTTGTAGGTTCGGGCCCACGTTTTGTGCGATTACTTTCAAAAATTTTGATGTATGACCAGGACCATCGTCTTCATCGTAGCTGACATCGTATGATAAATCAGTGATATGCGGCCCGATGCACAGCAACGTTTGACGCAATTTGGCCAGTGTGAATGCTGGATCGTCGTCTGTGTCCACTTTATACTTGTGAATGTGTGGAAAACAGTGATGATGCGATAAGCGATTGAACATTTTACACACATCGGCCAAACTGACGAGTGAATCGAGATCCAAAAATTGGAACACATGCAGCAGACAGTCTTCGTTCAATTTGAAAATTTCTGGTACGTGCTCATCAACTTCCATGTCATGTCTTGGCGATTGATTGATGACTTCAAGCGGTTGTTCCCATGAATCAGCAATTTCAATATCAAAAGGCTGTGTTTTCAATGCTTTTTTGTCAAATTCATGTTGCAATAGCATCAAATATGCACTACGGTCGCTGACAAAGGTCACATGTGCCTCTAGTGCATTGTTGGGCATTATTTCAATCAATTCGATCTCACCGAATTTCTCAATACGTTGACGAATTTCATCAACCGTGAAATTTCGAATGGGCTAAAAGATAGGAAGAGACGAAGAAAAGAAGGAAACCAATTGAAATTCATGCAACTGGCTGGGGCTTCAGAATTTGGATACGTACAGTGCGTTCATTCGGCTTCACACTGAGTTTTCGTACCACAACAAATCGATGTTTATCGTATGGCTCTCGATCGTCCACCAACTTCCATTCGAAATCGTCGCAAATGAATGGCATTTTTGAGGAGTATGAATTAGGATAAACCCACTGCGATAAAAATAGACAGCTTTTACTATGAATTGAACTAAATTTTCTAATTATATCAAGTTTATCATCCATCCATCATATTTACCTTCTTCAATCTGAACAATAAAACAGTCACTCACAACAAATCTTTGATTCCTGGTGTTTCAATCGAAGAATGATAAATTTTTACCCGAGTTTTGATGTCCAATGTTAAACTTGCTTCAATAAAACGATGCAAACAATTTGTTTGTTTACAAACTTTATGTTCACATGAATGTCAAATGATGAAATGACAGCTGATGCAACCGATAGCCAATGATTCTGAATTCATATAGATGGCGTTGACGTTTGCGCTAATTTTTTTGAATAATTATAGCAGTTGTTAATTTGTACAATCAATATAGAAATGGAAAAATTATTATTTCATAATAGTGTAAAAAT